TGATATTCTGCAAAGTATGTACTATTTGAGGCCAGTGTCCGTATAAACAGAATCTCTGAAAGTAAAGCCATGGCCTCCCAGAACAGTAATTCTCAGTTGTAAAGAACACCAAAATGTAGAACCACGTGTTTGATCAAATAGGAAACACCAGAAGCTGTGACTCCATTGCTATTCCCAGTAAAAACATCCAGCCTTTTCTTCACCTTTGAGATTAAGTATATTTCCCGGTAGCTACTGTATGGATATGTCTTAAGCCTTAAGGGAAAAAAAAAGGTTTGTTTTGTGATGTCCACTACATCAACTATTGTTACATGAGGCTATTGAGTGACTAGTGGTTTTTTAATTTCAAAAGTTCCTCTGTACCCTAAAATTAACCGACTTTGAATCAAGTCTAATATTAAATCTGGAAAGATTTCTTCTAATACCTTCATTTCTTACAAATGTGCATTAACATAATCTTACCTGATAAAACTATATTCGCCTAAAACAATCATGAACAGAATTATTTCCTCAATATCAAATATTTTAATAAAATAAAAATCTAATCTATGAAGTAGGGGAGCTCTGGGGAAGATGGAGCAAGTTACACACAGCATAATTTTAGTCTTCAACATTCTTGAATTCTGGAATAAAGAACTTAGTAACATTAATAATGAGGCAAATACTGTGTCTTATTAAATATCCCTACATACGACCTTTGATCCAAGTTTATTTTTTAAATTTCCTGACTGAGAAATGTTATAGCTTCTAGTATATTCTTGTTCCTGTGCACTTGGCAGAAAATTTTATACACGAAGCTGTAGAAAGTGCTGTATTTGCTTGGGTTGACGCCCGCCCACTTCATATCTTATGCTGGGGTCAAATGTAAAGTAAATTCAATATTTCTGTAATGCTGCGGATTAGTTGTGCTCTTGTCTGGCTCTGATGCTTGTATCAAGCCCATATGGGGGCTCTTCCTTTCACATCACATTTGCTTTCTTTCTTGAGAAGCATCAATTGAGCAACTCAGAAATCTTACTCTTTCTAGAAGCATTGCATAAATGCTTTATGTTAGTTGGTTTATTCCTCTCAACATTTTTGGTAATTTGTTGGTTATTTCTTAATCGTCTTAAACTATTTCCTGAAAATGTATTTTATACAGCTACAAATTGCATCTTTCATATTACTGGAAAAACTCGGTCCAACAAAATAAGAAAATATTCAGGGGTTGAAATAGTCTCATTCTTGCTAATAATGCTAACTGGACTTCTAAACTATTTTTATTCGAAAACCGTGGGAGTTTTATATCACATTATTTGAACTTTTATCTCTTAACATTCCTAATTTGGTTTTGTGAACTTTAAATTGAAAGGAAGCATTAATCTTCCCTAATTTAAAAAGCAGTTGATGAATTTGGGATATCTTAAATAAAAATATACTACCATTTTAAGAAAGTAAGCAAGAAATAACAAACCTTTGAAAGGCCTCATGGAATTAAAATTGGAATAGAAAAGCAGAAGACTGGGTAATCTAATTTGCCTTTTTCTTTGTAAAACATTTGACATATTTTAAATTTCAAACACTTAAGAAATTAACACTGAACATACAAATGTACAAGCTTTTATGTAACTTATTACAATGTGCTTTAGCTTGCCAGCAAACTCTTAAAACTCCCGGACACTGGCTCTCTTCTCTTCTGGCTTCTCTCCTAGTCATGTCTTGGCCGCCATCCAGAGCTGACAACTCTCACCCAGGAGTGAAGGGAGATTTGTCTGGTGTAAGAAGGATTTTTGAGGCATCCTTGATTTTCATATCCAGATGGGCGAGGAGGAGGGGTGGGCGTACGCACTTGGGTGATGTCACAGAGCCACACATGCACTGGAGCATTAATTTCCTCATACGATATGTTCTCAATGTCCTTAGACGCTCTTTCTGAGAGACTGTAGTGTAATGACTTCAGAACTCACAGAAAAATTATGTTCATATTTACATTGGAGCAAGTGATACACAAATACCATTTATTCTCCATTTCCAACTGTATACCAAGGACCCAAAGGGTTGGACCTCTTTGTTCTGCATACAAAAACTCTTAGGATCTGTTAGGATGAAAATGTAGAAGCCACCTGTCCAAGCCCTTGCCTCCAGTCATCATGGTAAAGCTCTCTGAATGTGCTGATCGTATTATGACAATTTGTTATCCACGGTATTTTCCTGCTAACGTGAGTTGTGATTATTATGCTTTTAAGGGTTCCCTAAAGCTGTTAAGTTTAGATTTTCTTAGGTAAATTGACTTTCACTTATCTAAAGAACCATTTAGTATTAATATTATGATTTGAAAGACCTTCTGAAAAGAATGGTTTTAAGGTAGGACTACCTCAATAGATTGTTTCCCTTATGAGTCTTGGACATACAGAAGAAATCTGTAACACATGTTTAACACTAAGAAAATGTACATTTATGTGCCTGAATATGTTCTATGCTTTTGTAAGTAACTACAAAACGGAATGAGTTTATAATTAGATATTACTCTTACATAACTTCCATTGCATTTTATTCTATAGATTTTTTCAAATGTTGTACAGTTTTCACAGTTAATCTGTTTCACCACATTATGTAAACTACTTTGCAGAATAGCTGTGCAGAAAGCAGTAAGGTCATTATTAAATGTAACTCATAGTATAGTATTTTACAGTGACATAATACTATGTTGAAAAGTTTATCTTTGCTCTGAATCTTCATGAAAGCTTTAAAAAGTTTATAATTATTAGCGATAATATAAACCTATAGAACTTAGAAAATAATAAATATATGAATGAGTTTCTTAGAAATCTTGAAATACAGGCTGTGCATGCCTTTTATATTTGAAATTAATTAGCTTTCCTCTTTCAAGTACCTTAAAGAAACCTGTAAGATTGATGAGTATGATTTCTTAGTTAATTTTAATTATTAGTTATTATTAATAGTTCATTAAGATTAAATGAAAGAAGTAAATATCAAGTTAACCATTTAAATACATAGCATCTTGCTTCCATATTACTCGATTGTAAATCAATGTCTATAATTCCTGATAACCCTTATAATTCCTATTATTCTTGTAAATGAGCAGATGCTAGTCTACATCACTGAGATCTTGAATAGTTGACTTTTAACACAAAATGCCTTTTACCATTTTAGGTTCAGATGTTTAGGCACAGAGTCTTAGTCTTGTCTTTATAGATAAAAGAAATCTGACCTTTTGATTAAGAAATACTGTCAGTAGCCTTTGTAAGAGCCTGTTCTTCTGAGGTCCATGACAGGAGAACTCTCCCAGTTGAGTTTATACTAAATATGAAATGGTACGCGCCTGCTGGGTATGATCCAAGATTCTTCTCCATGGGGGGACCACATGGTTTTCCCCATCTCCCACTTGTTCTCACCCTTTCTTACCAACCCAGCCACACCCCACCCCCACCCCAATATTGTTCAGGCCCCAGCACAATGAATCATTTCCAAGTTGACTCTTTGTGAACTGTCTCCCAGCTGTTGGAATGTCTGGCAGACATTTTTGTTTGGGTGAAGAATAACTGGCTGAAGCCCAACCTGGATGAGTTTGATAGAATGGTCTCTGGCTAAAGAAATATTGAGAGGAACATGTTTATGGCCTCCGAGCCCCTGTTATTCCTGGAGTAGGACCATGCCCCATGGCACAGAACTGAAAGGAATCAATCTGGATTATTTTCCCACCATTGAATGAAAAATTGCTTATGGAAAAAATAGGCATTTCCAAGTGATGCTTGTGTTCTGTGCTTGGTGTACCGAGGTGATTGAAAGTATTAAAGCCAATTAAAGGGCATTATTTTTACTGGCCCTTTATAGGTTCATAGGTGTGGACGGCCTGTGGTACTGCTGTAGCTGTGCACTGACCAGCCGCTGCTGCGGGTCTGCTGCTGCCAGGGACCCTGTACTCCCACCCTGGCCTCTGTTAAAAGTGCTTTCTTCCACAGTCCTTAGCAAGGCGCTTACGGAGGAAAGGACCACCACGGCAGGAAGACCCTTCGTTCTTTGTGTGTCCCCTCTTCACTGCCAGGGTGATGCATTTTCTGCACTTTTACATTTCCCACCCTTTTCTTTGAAGATTACTCTTAAACCAGTGGGCTTTGCTGATTTGTCAAAGAGAAGCTTCATAGTTACGATATTTTACAAACTCTAGACCTTTAGAATAAAAAGTCTTCTGTGGTGTTGCAGCACAGGGTCACAGCTTTCAGACTAACTGCGCTGTCAGGGATCTATAGGAACACTGGACGGTCATTAAATGGTTCCAAACCCAGCAGAAGAGCTGATGATTTCATGCTTTTAATCAATTTCTGGGTATTTTAGAACTTTTACTACTTTTTGGCAGGACGTCCTATTTTTGGCAACTACTGTCGAGTTTAATGGGACCTGGACTCACGTGGATTGTGTCGGGAGGGAGAAGGCGGGCTGCGGTGTGCCCCTGCCTTCTTTCCTTTGCCTTTATTGTCAGTGCCGAGCCACATAGTAGTGTCTGCAAAGCAAACAGAAGCCTGGAGCACTAGCCGCACCGCAACCCCTTAGCGGGACCCTTCCTGCCACAAATGCCCTCTGCTGTTGCTGGGCTGAGACGTGGTCCCCAGTGACAGGCAGCTGAGTGGCCCTTGCCTTGCACTTGGTACTGAGCTGTCTCCTGCTTCAAAATCCTGTTGTCTGCCAGCTTCTCCAGTGGGCAGTGGGTGAAGTACTTTGAAAAATAATGGAGCATGAAAGTAAAGGTAGCCTTGCTCAAGGCAGGTGAGAACTGATTATGTTCCCCCAGCTCTGGTTAAAACAGCAGACCTCTGTGGGTGGGGCTTTCAGTTAAGAGCACTGTTTTGTCCAGTGTTCACCAGTAGTAGCTTTTAGTGTTTCCAAGTTATTTCTCTACCCTGATAATCTGTCTCCACTATAATTTGTCATCAAGATGTCACAGTGACACTGTGTAATTGTCGTATTTTTAAATGGAAGTATTTTATTTCTGTATTTTGCAGAGTAAAGCGATTACTGCCCGTGTCACAAACTTGTCAGACACAGTAGTAGGCCTGGAATCGTTTGCTGGTTCGGAGAGAGAAACCAACCCGTTCTATAAGGATTATCACGGTAAGTGGCACCTTGAGCATGAGGAGGCCAGGCCTGGCTGCCTGGGGCTCCCTGTCCAGATAGCGCTGCAAACTCTGCCTCCTGGGAGACCTGCACGCTGCTCACTGTTCCTAGCCACTCTTCCAGGCAGTGTCTCAGGCTGCCATGATGGAGAGGAGTCAACCCCAGGGCTCGGGCCTGGCTCCGAACCACTTCAGCTTTTCTAGTCACTAAAAGCTGCCTTGCAGTCATGCTTCGTAAGTCTTGCTGCAAGTTGGCATTGTGTTAATCCTAACAATGCATGTGGTGTGTCCCTAATCCAGAAATCCAAACTCCTAAGTGCTTGGGACTCATGAGCCCTGGGGTCCCAAGTGTGCCGCCCATACATACACATAGCTCTGGCTTTGCAGGGCTCAGCCCAGGGCTCAAGGGTGTCTGCTGTGTCAGCTCTGGGGGACACAGAGAGCTCTTCCGTGCTTCTCCTACATTTTCCCAGCTTTGGTCCGATGTCTGGTTTCCTTTGCTGGAGACTGAAGGCAGCTTTGTGTGTGCTAGGATGTGCCCTTCCAGGGAGCCACAGCCCCACCCCTATTTTTTTAAGCTTTTCATATTACTTAAGTTATTTGGTTAGTTGGAGAATTTCTTTTTAAATAAAAATATTTTTTTACACAGAAGCATTTGAATTTTAAAATTTATTAATTACATATACGCTTGATCTAAACTTCATATAGAATATAGTAGGTAGCAGATTTTTACCTATTTATGTATCCTAAATAAACATGGTATTGCTGTTGCTATTGTAGAAGTTACTGTACTTCCAGAGAAACTTCTAAAAACCTAGTAACTTCTTTGAAGTCTGCTACTAGGATTTGTGAGTCTGTAGAAGTTATTTTATTGGTTCACATATTAAAATACAAAAATTAGTACAGAATATTCTTTATATCATTGCCCAGAGCTTTGAGTTTTAAAAATACACTAGCAATCAATACTGTTTCTTAAAGCTGGACCCCATATGTTGTGAACAAAGGCTGTACACAGTCGTGTGCCTCTTGACCGTCCTTGAGTGTCCACACGGCCTGGGCCCAGCCCAGCCCCATGTTCGAGTCATCTGCTTCATTGTTCTTGTGATTAGGAGAGATCAATTAAGATTTGAATATTTTTCAATTTTTCTTGTTCTTTTAATGCAATCCAAGTTGATAAATTGGATTATATATTATAATAAATTACACATTATCATTTATAAGTATTGTAGTGATTAGCTTATTTAGTAGAGCTATATTTTATATCCTGAAAATTTACTTTGATGGGGCCATTTCAGAGGCTGAGTGGCTATGAATCTTTGCACTGAGATCCTTGAGCTGACCAGTTCCCTTGCCCCCCCAGAGTCATGATCAGATCTGAGGACTGGTAAACTTTCTGCTCCTCGAAGCCTGGCCTGAGGGATAATTAGCTCATTCTGTAAGCTTTCCTCCTTCATAGCCGAACAGTCGCCTGAGAGGCTAAAGTCAAAAGTGTTCCTGTTTGATGTGCTCATTTCTACGAAGCATATTTTTACCAAATAGCTATATATAGGTAATTTTTAATTTGTAGTTAGAAATTATTTTTTTAAGAGCACCTTCTAACGTTTTTTAAGTTGAAAGATTGAGCTATTTTAGTGCATTCTTTTTGCAGAGATTTTTCTAAAATGAGGCCCTGGAGGTGCGCCCATGTAAATGGAAACAAGCCTCTGGATAGCTAAGCTGGGTACGGCAGAGGGCCTGAGGTCTGTGGGCTGTTCCCACACTGGCCGGAGCCCATCTGGACCCGGGCTTCCACGTAGGACTCAGTCTCGCCCGGCAGGGAGGGGCACGGGAGCCTGGCACGCCCGTGTGTCTGTGTGGAAAGACCCTCACTCGTCAGGCGCAACAGCAGGCTGCACAAAGCCACCCAGTGCCCGTGTCAGAGGGAATTAGCAGGCATCGCCCTTGACAAGAGGCCAGGCTCATGGTTTACCTAGCACCCTCACCAAGCCTGTGGCAGCCGCGGAGGTCAGCGCACCAGGCTGTGGAAATGAAGCTCGGGACGCCCGCCGTGTGCTCCAAAGTGCAGTCTTCCTCCGTGGTGTGCCCATGTCCTTAGTGAGGCTCAGATTACAGTACTTTCCGTGAGAGCTTCGCCGGTGATCAGTAACCCATAAGCCTTGTTTTGCTGGCTGCTTACTGGTGCATTTAATAAAATAAAGATCGCTCTGTGGCGCCGTGGGCAGCGTGCAAGGTGATAGCCATATTTGCTTACTGTAAATACAAGGGGAAATCACACACAAACCAGCTGTAGTTTTGACAAGAATTAAGATCCCTCTTTACATCTGTACTTGTGTACTGAAGTGCAATTAGTTTTCCTCGCACAAGGATTTCTGTTTATCTTATTCTGCCTGATTACTTGAGTATAATCACACCATTTGCTTCGCTGCTCCTGGTAGTAAGCTCCAGTTTTAAAGGGAGATGCCTGCGTGTAAATTTACAGGATTCTGCTGTAGGGTTTTAATTTATGCGTCAGATGACAGCATTTAAAATTTTTTTCTTTTAATTTTCTCTCTGCAAGGTTTGATGCATATTCGGCAGATTCCTCGGCTTAATAATTTGATTTGCGATGAATCAGATGTCAAAGACTTAGCTTTTAAGTTAAAAAGGAAGCTATTCACCATTGAGGTAAGAGAATTTTGTTTTGGTTTACAGTCTGAAGGTAAATGCTTTCTGCCCCTTTCTTTCACTTTTTCTCTGATGAAGTTCTTGTGACGGGTTTCATGCCGAATACGAAGTTCTCCTGATGTAACATACAGAGTGGGTTTTTTTTTTTACTATCCTTTCCTTATGTTAGTGGTTTATCATTAGCATTTGGCAAAAATAATTTTGTTCTAAATGTCTGTTAAAAGTAAGCTCCAGAGTCCCCTGATAAATGTGACACGCATATTCTCGAGGCTCTCAGAAGCATATTTAATTAAATGTAATGAGCTGTGCTTACTTGTATGTGGGATGTGAATGCTACCCATGGTTGTGTGTGGCTGACAAAAAGGAGCTTCTGACCTATATCCTAAAAGTACTTTTCTTTACTACTAGTGAAATTGCCTTTCCCTTTGCATGCTAAAGTAAACAAAATGTAATTTATACCAGTGGCTTTAAGTAAATTTTGTAAAATACTGAAACTTATCTTGTGATCTTTATGCAGGCAGCAATGACAGAAAGTAGTAATACAAAAGATTTATTTCAACTTAATCTTGCTAAAGAGCAAATGAACATAGAACTATTAAGCAATTAGAGTTGATGTATTTATTAACGAAGTAAATGTTCAGAGAGAGATGGCTTTGGCTGATGGGATAGTTATCTGTGTAGTTGGCGCATTTTTTTGAACAAAGACGTAAAACAGCCAAGCAGCCTTGACGAACCGTTTTGTTTAATCTCTTTTCAAATGAAAAGCTCTTAAGCAGGCCACTTGTCTTAACTGCTTGAAACCATAAAAAGAGAGAATTGCCACCAATAAATTAGCATATTTTTAACTTCATCACCAAATGATGGTCAATGCGGCTTGGCACTGCTTTGGTGTTCAGGACTTCACCCTTAAGTGACCACTTTGGCCCTTTTTTGACCCTCTGCCCTCTTTAAGCTGGCCACTTGGTAAGGTAACTTAATGGTTCTCTCTCTTTCTCTCTTTCCCTTCACATTTGCAAGTAGCACAAAACTATAAATCATTGTAAGGGCCCTATCCAGTGACAAATTAATGTGCCCTCCTCCTAACTAATGGTCATCAGTGCCCTTAATTATCTAATCCTATTGAGAGCAGTTAATAGTTAATCAGGCAGCCAGTTCTTCAGGCAGGCCATCTCTGCAGGAGTGTCAGAAGTTTCTCATCTGGGGATCCTCCCTCCCATAGCCACTCAATGCCAGAAGAGCCGGAGTGGAGAAACAGTGATTTTTGAGCTAATTTCCTTTAATTCTCAAAAGAAGCCGTTGAAATGGGACCCAGCGCTGTAATGATTCAAGCAGTGTTTCAGCCCTTCTGACAGAGCACTGAGTGACTACATAGCACCACACAGAACTTCTGGAGGGATGCAGTTCTGACTGGCACAGGAAAAGTACCCTCAGCATTTGCTCTTAGGTTGAATTTGTAGGTTCAATGCAAGATGTGATTTCTTTTCCTCCATGATGCACCCTTTACCGCAAATCAACATTCTGATCACAAAGTCTGTCTCAGGTATCATTTCTGTTACTGTGCAAAGCAACGCAGTTCCCAAGTGGGAAGAACAGCATTGTGCCCAAAGAACAAAGTATAGTGTAGTCTGAGCAACGCATGTGATTGCTTTTTCTTCCTACTGGGTCTGTTGGAGCTGGGCTGGGGAAGGGAGGGCAATGGGACCTCAGAGTCCCTGTGAGACGGCACGGGCTCTGATGTGGGCCTTGGGGAGACCTGCAAGTGCCTTGCAGCTTTCACTGCTCCCCGCGGTGCTAAGCAGGGGCCCAGTGTGCTTGGCTATTTCAGGGTTTGCAAGCAGTATTTGAAAACAAAATAAAAGTAAATAGTTGGTTTAAAAGAAGTTTGCATTCGGTTTTCAGTTGATCAGATTCATCACTTTTTTTTGGCTTACAATCTGGCCAATAAAGATTTAACTTTGTTAAGCTGGGAATGTAGGTGCAACCCATTCTAAAACCCATTTTTGTGTATTGTAATACTAAATTTGGTGATTAGGAAAATACAAATTAAGAATCAAACAAATGTACTAATAATGGCTGTATGTATGTACCAGGCAAGTGCCTAGAGCTACATGTGGTTACTTTTTAAACAGAAGACAGTGATATGGTCAGCTACGGTGAAGCGTTTTCAGTGTAGCACTGTGACTTTTACAAACTGCGTATCTGGAGGAAAAGCTCCGGATGATGGTGATGTAAACCTGAAGCAAGAGGGAAAATGACCTGAAAGCAATTAATTCAGGAAGTCCGTGGCTGGAGGGAAGTACCATCAGGTACCCATGTTTGCATGTGCACAGTGAGTGTGTATTTATTCGGTAGACTGATATTTTTTGAATAAAATGTATACTCAGCTGTTCTGTGAAATTTGAGACTGTGGCATACCAGGCAGGGAATCCGAAGCACCTCTTAGAAGCAAGGTGGTTTGGCAGGTCGAGCAGAAGTGTTCAGAAGTGTTCTGATTCTGCAGATGTGTCCCTGGGTGCACTTTATTCCTAGCCCTTTGGTCTCAGACAGGCACAGCTGGAGATAGGGACCCGAAAAGTAGGCAGGTACCTTCAACACTATGTCAGGGGTACTTGAAAGATATATTTAGTCACCACCCTTTTTATGTGTGAAAACTGATGATTTACTGATACCTCCAAGGACTCCTAACAGATAGTGCAACCTTAGAAGTCTTGAATTTCTTTTGAGTGATCTGGAAAAGGCAGAAAAATAGTTTTTCATTCTTGGAATATATATGGGTTTGTCATGCTTCAAGTGAAAACATTTATCTATCACATGTTGAGTTATGACTGATCCCGCTGACTGTACAGCTCTGTAAATTAGCCCCTTTGCAGAACCTGTGGTAAAATCACCTCTGCACTGAGTACATCAGAGTCCTGGTATGCATTCTAAATAACTGTCTGTCCCAGGACTAGGAACAGGGCCGCTCGCTTGGTCGGCATAAAATCTTTGCTGAATTGTATATAATCTGAAGAAATTACAAATTAAATTGTTAAATACTACTCCAGGGCTGGGGATTTAGCTCAGCTGTCCAAGTGCTTGCCTGGTAAGTGCAAGGTCATGGATTCAATCCCTGGTACCAAAAATAAATAAATAAAAAATTTAAAACTACATTTCAATACTATTCCAAGTTCTAATCTCCACGTGTTGTCTGAGCTGCATTGATCAAATGATCCAGAAGATACTTCCTGTGCAGTCCTCTGTCTGAGCAGCAGTAACTACTTAAAACTTGCATTGTTTCACTTCCTCTTATTTTCACTTCTTCAATGGTGGGGGTTTCATTATAGTTCTTTTCTTTATGTTATACTTTTGATGAAATTATAATACATGACAAGTAGGATTTAGTAGAGTTTGAAATGTGACTGCATTTAATTTGATGGCATAAAAACAGCATTTTCATGAGCATTTAATATTAGCGACATTATTACAAAGAGGGTTTCCTGTTTTGTGGGACAGTATTTCAGCCCCAAGATTCAGTGTTTCCAAGCAAGCCAATGTATGGTAACTGGATAACTACACTCAACAGCACAAAAGACTTGCACGGTTAATGATAAACTTTCCATACAAGGACGCACAATAATTATAGGCTATCATTGATTCCAAGGAATGGGGACCAGTGTATCTGTGGGCCTTGTAGGCTAAGTGGATTTTGAGAGTAGAAAATGTCAAAGAAAATCAGGTTTATTCGATATTGTCTTATAATACATCACACTGAGCTCAACACAGGGTCCAGCAGCCAGTCACCAAAAAGTTTTTCTCACAGAATAATTGGCTAACCAGTTCTTATTAACTTGTTATTATTTTTGGTTCACTATTTCATTCTTAAAGTACTGAAACTTATAGGTGCTATGTGTATAAATTAGATTTGTAAAAAAATTTTAGCTTGATATGACTCCATAAAATTACTTGAAACGTTTACATTTTGAAAAAATGTAAATCCTTGCTAACTCCTAGTCGCCATGATAATATTTAACAATTTGGATTGTTGCATAATAACTGTAGTCTCAGATTTACTTCCTTATATACATTTATTTTCAACAGCCTTTCCAGTTTTTAAAGGAGAAGTACAAGGGTGAATATCTGTTTCTTATATGTAGAGATGAGGAGAGGGCGAGCTAACATGCTTTTCAGCTCACAGTTATGTCATTAAACTAAAATAATAGAAATGTCTGCTCGGAAGCCTTAAGTTTTAGCAGCCTGGGTTGTGTCATCTGGTTAATACTGCTCTCTATAAATACTGGTTGTCGTTTAAGTTAGTTTTTTTATTCCTAGATATACTAGTTAGGAAGGAAGGAAGCAAAGAAGGAAGAAAGGAAGGAAGGAAGGAAGGAAGTTGAACAAAGGCACTTATTCCTGTGGGTGTAATCATTTGCCAGAAGTAAACCCAAAGTAACTTTGAGCATGCAGTAGAATTTCCTGTACATTCACAAGTTGAGTGTGTGTATGACACCATTAACGCGGTTTTTACACAGAAACTCTGGGTGATACTGGCATGCAGGAGTGCCGCATAGATGTCCCAGGTCTGCAGAAGCTGGCTTCGCCCTTACCAGCCACATTTCACACCCCATCCTGAACCTATCAGAAGTGCATACCACCTTAACAGGAGCACAGTTTTGAGACCATCTAATCCTATTTCTTCCCACTTTGGAATCTTAATTGGAAGAGATAAGGGAAAGAAAAAACATCATTTAACTAAATTATTGTCTTGAATCTGTAGCGAGAGGTATAATCCGCAATTGGGCCAATTAGTGAAGGCCACAGTGAGCTCACGGCAGCCAGCAGCTTGATGAGGGCTGACACTGCCCCGTTCCCACTGTGGTGCTGCCAGGTAAGACGGCCAGACTTCAAAGGCCGGAGGCATCAGCAGGGCAGGGTTTGCAGGCCGGCTTAGGTCCGGCTGCTAATCTCCCTGCTAACACCACAGCAGCTCTCACACAAAGCCAGCTTACACGACACAATCATGCGGCATTAAAGTTGGAGTTGAGTCATGCCAATTTGCCTTTGATTTTCTGATGATTGACCAGAGATGGCTACATGACTGGACATATCCTGAAAGTGTACTGATTAGGTAATTTCCCAAAATATTTGAAGTATTTTCTGACTTCCTAAATGAAGGTTGCAAAAGCCTACTCCTTTGTGCTTAGTCTTCTAGAGCAATAGCACCATACTGGGAAACAACCAGTGTTTCTTACTGGCTGCCTGGCTACAAAGTTTCCACTGAGCGGTTCTCCTGGATTTGTTTTTGTGTTAACAGTTCTCTACCAGGATGGAAAAGGAAATTGTTGCTAAGTGGCAGCCCATTTAAAAGTCTATTAAGTGCTTTGAAAGAAGAAATATTTTCTCTGGGTCATTTATGTTCACTGACAAGTTTCCTGAGATTTCTTTGTAATTGTTTTCCACTTACAAGTTGAGTGGAGTGTCCTCGCAGGTCCCCATGTGACAAGGCCTTTGGAGGAGGGAGGCAGCCAATTGACCTACCGTGATCCAAGCTGTCGCTGGCCTGCGTGGGACTCTGGCCTGCCCAGGGCGCTGGCCCATCAGGAGCTCTGGTCCATCCGGGGCGCTGGCCTGGCCTGGCTCTGTTGCAAAACTTAATGTCATAAACTGAGTTGGGTCTAAGGCTCCCACATGCTTCTCCACAGCTGCATTTCGCACAGGTGTCACGAGGAAAGCGTGGTATGGGAGCATCGAGGCGGTGGCCGAAGCAGCAGCCTTCGGTCGTGGGGGAGCAGGGTGAGCCGGGGCGCTGAGTGGCCTCATCCCCAGGTGCCACACTGGAACTTCTGTGGATGTCCTTGGCGTAGCCCAGGAGCAGGGTGCAGTGTTCCCAGACACGGCGCTCCCCCGCGTCCTGTGCGCATTTGAGGGAAAAGAGTGCGCAGCTCAGGTGAACAGAGACCCCGCCTTTCCGGTTTCCCTGCCTAGGCACTTGCGGTTCTCAGAGGGTGTAAGATCAAGTCTTTTCCTCGTCCGTCCTTCCCTGGCCCAGAACTCTAATGCTTCCTGCATGCGCTCCTGCAGCTCTGTGCTAGAGGTAGCTTTTGGGGTGCCCCGGGTTCCGGAAATGCCTGCATACCTGGCCCCGTGAGCTGGAAGGTTCCCCCTCCGTCCCTCGGGGTGCTCAGCTGCTTTGCTGGTCCCTCCCCGGCTCCTCCACTTTAGGGAAGACTAGCCTGCCCAGCGTGGCCATCACCTTTTTAAAATTCTCTCTGTAACATTTCTAGGTTACTGTAATTATTTGTATCTTCCGGTTTGGTTTTTCTGCCTTACCAGTAAATGATCAGTTCCACAAGCCAGGGACATACATAGTCTGTTTTGCTGGAAGTCCTTAGCCGTGTTGTTAAATTGTTGTTCCTACGTCTACCTAAGTTTCTTTAAAACGTCTATCTGGTATGTCCTTTGTCCAAGGAGTTGAGTTGGATGCTTCTGCTTTAACATATGTAAATCTCACCTTAGTCCCCTAGGAGCCCCAGTGTGTGCACCGTTGCAGGGAGTTCAGAGTCCCTTCCCCAAGAGACACGTCGGTAGTTAACAAAATTAAATCTAGAACTTTGAACTCTCTGAGCAGAATTACACTGGAAAACTAACGTGTTCAGGAGCTAATTATTGTCAATATAAGAAATGGTAGGTTTTATTAAGTGTTAGCACTGTCATGGAACTAATGCAGGTGCTTCCTGGGCATTAGTAGATATCACAAGTATCCTACATTATTATTATTATTATTATTATTATTATTATTATCCACTTTACAAGGGAGGAGACTTACAGTTCAGCAAGTGAGCGTCTGGTAGCCAAGAGCTACCAGAAATAGCACAATTCCAGTCTGTTAGATTCCAAAGCTTAGATACACCAAGTCGTAAGAAGCATATACCTGCCTTGTACACTTGTGTCTCCATATGTGTTTTACAAGTGCATAACTTCAGCGCCTACCCAGAGAGCCTCTGCCCTAAAAAATTTCTTCGTAAGAAATACACTTTTAAATCAGGGACCTAAAAAAATCTGTGTATGTGTATATATGTGTGTAATGAGTGCATAGGCATATGAGAATATGAATATTCTCTTAACTTTCAAGTTAAAAGTTTCTGTCTATAGCAAACATTCTATTCTATTTTTGTGACATACATTATGAAATTTAGGTTGAGTTAGTCAGCTTCTTGCTTACAGAACGTAATGCAAGTCTGTATTTAAACGTGTACATATGTAATTACAGCAAGGTAAAAATACTGTTCTTTCCTTTTTAATTATTTCTGGTATCTACAAAGTATTTTATTATGAAAAAATTAATTGGCAAAAAAATTTCCTTAAGTACAAATTTTATAGGACTCATAAATCCTACGTAAGAAAGATAAATTATTCTCTACAAAAAATGTGCTTCCTATTCGTAGTCAACTATTATGAAATAATTGAAATATATGTTAAATTTCATTGCAATGTTTCATTGCCTTCACTTAAGTTCTTTATTCAGGGACCTTTGCAAATATGCATTTGCTTACAAATATAATTACTTAATGTATTTTATGTTTTTCTAAATTATATTTGTTAATTGTATAGCCTTGAAACTTGCCTGTGAAATAAAGATGTACAATAAGCATCTACTAAAATCAACTTTTTGAATATCTAACATCTGCCTCCTTTATCATAATCAGTTCTAATGAAGGTTCAAGTTGTTCTGCAAAAGGCTTCTTTAACCCTTTGCAAGTGTTTTATTTGTTGGGAATTCTCAAGAGTAAGATTCTGTAGTCTTGTGTTGGAAGATATTTTCCTGTTTTATTAATATTTAAAAGTTTCTTGCATTTTAGTCATGTGAAGGAATTATGTTCATCATTAGGAAAACATGATATCAAATATACACTTTCAGTTTTTAAAAGCTAGGCCTGGGGAACCAGAGAATGCGAGGTGTGATGGAAATGGCTTTAGGCCCCAAACTAGTAAAAGAGGCCTCCTATTTCTTAGAAATTAAAATTTTGGCAGCGTCAGTGGGGCCACCATTCAGCACCACAGTGCATGTTCCGGAGATTGAGGCTCAGACCCTATGGGCCTGGTACAGCAGAGCTGGCTGAATTGTTTTGTCAGGTGCTGTCAAGTCAACCTGCTACCGAGGGAGAGAAGCTGACTGAGTCATTTCGACGTGAGCTCTCCCGAAATAACTCATATGAGCGGTTTAGTAAGATTGTTGGTTTCAGTTTTTTTGTAAGACTGTCAAACATGGATTGCACTCATTCGTAAATTTCTGAGTATATCAGTTGAAATACTGGGTCCTATCCTTTACTGAACTGTTTAAGTATCAGTATTCAATACAGATAACACTTGAAACATGTTTGGGTGTTTTTGGGATATAGGATTCTTCACCGAATGTTTTCAGGTAATAAGACTTCAAAGTGTGCAGTCATTTAGTAAAAAGAGCATCTTTTACTAAAATTAAAACATTATGTAGTGAAATGAAGCTGACAGCAACTTTGATTTAACTAGCTTTGTTTCTAGCAGTTACTGCAAGCGAGGTTGTGTTTAGATTTCTTAAGTTTGTAATTGTGAATGTTCTAAATATTTAATTCTCATGACTAAAAAGAAAACCTCTCTGATTGGTGGTTACTTTAAAAGGCATGGCTATGGTGTAGAGTCACATTTTTATGTGCGTATTTTGATATAGGGTGTTGTTTTCCTTGGGATTTCTGCTTGGTACCCTCAAAAACATTTTACTGACTTATACTGTAGCTGTGGCATAGCACTGAAGAAGTTTGTAACAAAAAGCCTGTTGGTGCAATTAAAGGTCACTTGTGCATATTGTAATAGGCTGCTCATTTACAAGGTCTTTGTGAAGGGTCAGCGCTGCAGCACGAAATGAGTTGTCCTTGTGGAGCCTCTAAGTAAGTGGGTTAGCTGTGGTCAGGAAGCAGGGGAGGGGCTCACACAGTACTGGTGCTTTAATATTTTTACAAACATCGCTAAAACGGAGAACATAGCCAAATACATATAGAAAATTATAGAATGCATCTTTGCAGCGTTTAAGGGAAAACTGCTTATACACGTGCAATATTCCTATGTATCACATTAGGATAACAGTATTTTCTTTGCTTACTACTTTATGATTTCTGGTATCTGGTAAGTATTTTATTATAAAAAAAATTAGTTTACAAAAAAAAGTTAACATACACGGATCAGGACAAATCAGCAGAAGAACACAGTGACCTGTTCACTGTCCTGTGCCCTGGAACCGTCCTGTTTCACTGTGACTCTGTTTACACAGCCATTCATTAATACTGAAACCCAAACCCTGCCATGGATAGAGATGAAAGAGGTTTATTTTAATAGTGGTTTTAATTATCTTCCGTAACCTAATTCTGTCAGGGGAACTAAGGTGGTGGTCTAGGTCAAGTATTAGTGGTGTTCTCTACTGAATGAATGTAGTCACCTGCTTTTTCAATAAATTCAGACTTCAGAATAAAAATAAAGCCAATGATAAAAAAATGTAATCTTTCTATCATGGTGTGGAGGCTTCGGAAGATACGACTATTGAAGGAGGTGTGATAGCGTCCAGTGTGGGTCTGTTTCCTTCACCACTGTGCTCCCTTTCCTCGCTCGGTATCTGGCCACGCAGTGCCCAGCGAGTGTGCAATGAGTGAGTGTGCAATGAGCGAGTAAGCTCAGGTCCCCTTGACACACCTCAAAACGTGTAGGGGAGTGCGCATGTGGAGCTGGCACTGCTCCAGTGTCAGGAGCACTGATAGTGCTAAGAGGTGCTCTGTGGGTGCCCCGTATATTGTGAAGTTTTGCATGGACAGCCTTCAGCAAACATCACCCAACAGTCTTGTTAACTGGAACCAACAGTGCTTGGCCCGAAGTTCGTAGGTAGCCAGGGACAGGAGTGTCCAGTTAGGGATATGTGATGGATGCGCTACCTGAGCCCTTCCCTCACCATCGTTTTATTGACAAACATTATTTTGAAAGCCTCGTTTGAAAGGTCTAGTTTATAAACTTCAGTGAAGAGTTTCTCACTGCCTTCCTTATGCCAACCATTAGGGTTATGCTGGGCTGTCACAGTCCTCAGGGTGGGAGAAACTTGCCCAGTGCCTGCGGGGAAGCGCTACACTTCTGTAACTCCCACTGGCCGGCAGGTGCCTGGTAATGCCCTGGGCCATGCGCCGTGTGTGGTTCATTTTATGGCCTATGTGTTTTCCTTTCTTTTAACAGAAAAAAGAACATCATAAGTTTGTCAAATGTGTGAGTTATTAATGAAGTAACCGTATAAAATGCAGTTTGAATACATTTTGAGTGCTTTACAGTTTTAATTTAGATACACTTTAACAGTAACATAACTAATATAACTTGCATAGTAGGAGAAGCCAAGGGGAGTGAGCCTTATAGGAGAAACCATCCCACTGAACCTTTTGGGCACACGCAGCCAGCTCCCATCTAGCTTGGCTGTTTAAGAATTCCCTCCTGGCAAGTCATTCTGATCCCGTAGAAATTTAAATTAAGGGCAGTTACGTTCAAAAGAAAAAGCTGTATCATGTATAATTTATATTTTCCTCACACAAGACAACATATAAATAGTACAATGAATTGTGTTTTGGAGGTAGGACCCAGTCTTCGCAGCACTATAGCACTGTACATTTTTGTCTGTGCATCATGAAAAAGAACCTCTTTTTGTTTTTTGTTTTTTTGGTTTTTTTTTGTATTTTTACTGATACCGGGGATTGAACTCATGACTGCCTGCTTGCAAGGCAGGCGCTTATGCCACTGAGCTAAATCCCATCCCCAAGAACCTCTTTTTTAAAGGCCTGCTTTTTTTCCTTTTTGAGACAGGGCTTCACTATGTGTAGTTCAGGCTGGGCTTGAGCTCACTTTGTAGCCCCGGCTAGTCTTGAAATGGCAACAATTCTCGTTTTTTGAGATAGGGTCTCACTATGTAGTTCAAACTGACCTTGAGCTGACTATGTTGCCCAGGCTGGCCTTGATCTTGAAGGGATCCTCCTGCCTCGCCTCCCAAGTGCTAGAATTACAGGCGTGTGCCACCACATCCCATGGGCCTACAAATTTTAATAAAGTTGTCAATTGGTGGATATAATTTATAGTCTTAAAATTAAGCATTATTTGAAAAATAGCACATACACCCTATCACTTGATGTGTAATTTGCCCTTATAGAAGAAATACAAGCTTTGAGAAAATACCTACCTTTTCTCAGACTGCAATGAACATCTCTGAGAAACTACATACATTATAAAAGGATAAAATCAGAAGGGAGCTGAAGGTGCTTCAAAGCCACCTTCTTACTTTTCCACATGTTTTCTTATCCTGCCTCTCTGTCCTCATGTGAAGACAGCCCATGTTTCAGTCTCCCAGATTCACTCAGGTGCTGACACAGTCTCTGCCACTGGTACTAACTTTGCTTTCCGAATCCATGCATAAATTGCTGTTTTCCTTACACTATTGCTAGACTCAGAATAAATACCTAATCTGTGAGAAATAGTTATACCTTGCAGATGTATCTTCTTTGTTGTCCTTAGATTTCTTGTATAAAACAATATGAATTAGATTGACAATTTTGTGGATTTTTTATACCTTTTCTTAGAATCTTGAGGATGAAGCCCATGTTATATTAATACCTCCTTTTAAAGAATCTTTTTCTCTTTTTTCAAATAAAGCATTCATTACAGATATTAACATAAGAGCTTTGAACTCTGAAGTAGAAATGCTTTAGGAGTTACAGAATCATCTAATTTCAGTGCTAAAATTTAGTGTTTTTATTTGTAGCATGTTGTATATATAGATGACTTCAGATGATTAAAAGGATAAAAACATTAAGTGTGAGTTTTAAGTTTTATAACTACTTAAGGTTAATTTATTGTACAGTAAGTGAAACAAAAGGTAGCATTAAATTTTTGATGACAGGACGTTAAGAGGCATAATAACGTATCTCTAAGAAGTATCGATGTTTACAGCAAAAGTACCCTAAGCCACCCCATCCAGTGTCTACAATTAATAATCAGATTAAAACAGTTTTAAAGGACACTTCAGAGGAACCATGTGTGGCTCAAGAAGTCTTGCTTATTTTCACTTACATTTAAGTGTAGAAACTTCTGAGACAAGAAAGAAAGATATTGGAGCTTAAAATCTAAATACGATGTTGGAATGTAGTGTTGGTGCTAGTAAGATTATTTTTAAGCCATAGGAAACTTGAATTGGAATATTTTGGCATTTTTAGGTAGAAATTTATATATAAATGCATTCAAATGAAAAGTGCTTTTATTTAAGCTATGCAAATGATTATGGTTTCAGTAATTATAGTATAATGTCCTTGATACTTGGAAATTATTTTAAAATTAGGTGAAACAAAACCCCTTTTCAGAGTGTTTATAATGTGGAACAGAAGAGTGTATGAAACTATACAGAAAGAACTCAACTTAGTGTTTTCAGCTTAATAAAAATGTTGTAAAAATACTTGTAAGCTTGAAAATCACACTAGCTATTCTTGTTTCAAATTCTGTTTAATATATTGTTCTGTATGATTTTATAATAAACAGATTACTCCTTGAACAGGAATTAAGAATAAAGCTGCCAGGAAGGGGTTTTGTTGTCGGAGTAGTTCCCGCCTCGTGTTTTGTAAGAGATTTCATGGTCCCATTGTAAAGAGCAGATGATTTAAAACGTGTTCCCAAGATAAACTTTCCCATTGTCATTAATGAGGATGGATAATACTGAGTGACAAGTGCATTAGCAGTGACACAGAGAGAGCTGTTAGATTTGTCAGGACAGATCACTTCAGGCCTGACACTTATGGACATTCTTTCTGGGGGAGGTGGGGGGGTCTAGTTAAAGACTCCAAAGTTTGTGTTTGCTAATAGAATCGTATATTCCGCAGTTTATCAGTATATGTATTTTCAGTGTTCATAAAATATTTGGAAAATTTCTTAGATTGAGTTCTTTTTTTTCATGCTTTTCTAATATCCTGAGTCCTTCCTAAGAAAGTCATCAAACTAAGTAGCATTTGAGTGTTAAAACATTTCCAAAAACCGGGTTGTCTTCTTTAAAAGGTCTTATTTCTTGGACTATCTGACTAAAGGAAGGATACTAAAAATGGTTTAAATTATAAATTATGTAAGTGATAATTTTTGTTGCTTTATTCCCACACATGAAAGGTATTGCCTTCTGAACAAAGGTTTTTAAATAAAAAATGCATATAAGTTATATTGCCTCTCTAAAAATACATAACTTCAGAGAGACATTTTAAATGATAATCAGCAAGTGATTAATAATGTATGACTTTTCTGGTATTTAAAATATTTCCAAACTATAATGTGCCTCTCAGTTTCGATTTTGAACGTGCAATTGGTCACTTTTTCGCTTTGATTCCTCTTCCATGCTGCCAACCAAATTTCATCTCTCTGTACCTTTTTGACACTAATAATGGCTGAGGCTCTGTTCATTTGAGTTCAAGATTTCCCAAGCGGCAGTTTGGTGCTGGGCTAAACTATCTATCATGATTACATTGCACTAATCTGCCGCGCCCAGACCAGCTTGTGACTGATATCGCCCCTGACAGCTCACCTCTTCGTGATGAGCAGAGGTGAGCCTCGCAGCACACTGTCCCTGGGCCGCCAGGCCACTTCTCCATATGCTGGCGGGCCCCACCCCCGGGATGCAGCCCGCTAGCCCCTGTGGGGCCAGGAAGGCCTCCCTGGCCTTGCTGACTTTGGGTGGATTACTTGCAGCACAGCACCTCTCCTAGACGCTCCGTATGCACTTCCAGCCACTGTAAGTGCTGTGCGTAGGGTCTGTCAGCTCACCGTGTATGTAAGACCCCAAGACAGTTTTTACAATATTTGTGCTTTCTAAAACATATTATTTTAGAATCACAATTACCAAATATCAAGATCTTCTATTAGATAACTCTTAGCAGAATTATCATTTCTTTCTTTCTTTTTTTTTTTTTTTTTCGTTTTTATCGGTACCAGGGATCGAACTCACGACTGCCTGCTTGCAAGGCAGGCGCTTATGCCACTGAACTAAATCCCCAGCCCCGAGAATTATTATTTCTTGAAATATATCTGTGTTTTTATGCTAGGAAAATGTTTTTTAAGAGTTTAATTCTGTAATTTTCATGTAAAAATATTTTTCAAAGAAGTTTCATGTTCTTCCAAGATTTTTTATTTTTCAAGATTTTTAAAATATGTTTGAAGAGAATGAATTGAATACTATACCAGAAAACAGTATGTTTATGAAGATTCCATAAGTAATCTTATTTTTACTATTGCTTCTCAAGAGAATCCACTTACTTTTCTGCATCCTTTCTTTGGAAACCGAAGTGTCATCAAACCCTTTGAGCTGACAGCCCGAGGATGTTAAATACCTCAATAGCGAGTTTGCAAAAAGCTCTGTGACCTGACTTGGAAGAATGTGTGCTGCGCATTTGTCAGGCTGGAGGATTGGATGCAGACTCAAATGAGAAAGGACAAGGTGGAGGTTATTTCTGTGCAGGCATGTGTGCTTCAAGACAGCTTTCCATAGCCGAGTGTGGTGGCAAACACCTGTAATCCCAGTACTCAGGAGGCTGTGGCAGGAGGATCATTGCAAGTACAAGATTAGCCGGGGCTACACAAGCAGCTCATGAACTGCATAGCAAGACACTGTCTCAAAAAGACAAAAAATAATACCAACAATAATAAAATAGCTTTCCATGGCCACACAGAGACAAGTTCCCCACAAAGCCGAACCTGTCGTACCTTCCCTGGAGGCTGACACGTGCTTCTGCCTGAGAGGCGCCAGTGGCCACGAAGTTGGGCCTGCAGAGTTCTGTTAGGGCCATGGTGACGAGCTCACAGTGGCCTGTTTGGGTCACGGACAGCTCTAAAAGGTGCGCTGTCCCCAGGTCAAAGGCATCGCACAGTTGAGTAGAGTCATCATGGTCCTTTATGTGGGATGAAGCTCACTGTTCCCTAAGAAAGGTTTCTTCTAGATGTTGTTTCCTGTAACTGTAAAGCAGCAGTGTGATACTAATTCATTCTACACAAAGTTTTTAGGAATTACACCTAAAGCTTCTAGCTCAGTGGCACAAATGCCTGCCTGGCAAGTGCAAGATTGTGAGTTCGATCTCTGGCTCAAAAGAAAGAAAGGAAGAAATTATACCTAAAATCAAATAACCACCAAGTTAATTTTGGAAATTTATGTGAATGCATTTATTGATATCACACAGGTAGTGAGTGAAACATTTATATGTTGGTTGCAGTATAAATACTTTTTAACTAATAAGCTTAATCTTTAGCTTTTATTCTCTATATTTTAACTAATGTAATAAGTACATTAATTTAACAAGTTATATAAGATATATAATCTTACCAGCGAGCTGCAAAATCTTATCCAGTGATATGTATTTCTAAAGAAGGGAAACTATCCAAGTAAGTTAGAAAACTATATTTATCCTTGATGCCAAAAATGATTAAAAATGGTCTAACTTATACCCTCATTCATCTGAGGCAGCCTGAATTTTGTGCTGAATTTTAACTTAGGTCATGCACTCTGTGATCCATTCACCCTATCTTACCCAGCTACTCCTCCCCTCTAATTACATGATCATTAAATGTACTTTTTATTATAGGATGCACCACATCAGTTTTTAAAACTAAAATTACTTGTATTTTTCCCACAAGTATCTATTTTCTAATCAGAATAGTTGGTATTCCATTAGCTTACAGTGAATATTGAAAATTTAGAAATGGTAATTATTGAATAGTTATGATCCAAAAGAGTAATAGCTTCACTTGGAAAGCAGAATAGTCTTATATTAAATTTAGAAAACAAGTAAACTATAATATTGTATCTAATATTTAAGTAATTATGCTTTTTGAGTTTTAATACAACCTTTTATCACATTTTCATGTACTTTCCATAGTATACCATGAATCCTATATGTGACAACTAAAATGGCCATGACTTTTAGTAAGCTGCATAAAATTACCCTGAAAAATACCTTAATACAGTCCATGCAGCAAAATTACCGTGCTCTTCAGAACACGCTTAGAAGTGATTGGCAACACTCACGCCACTTGTTCTGTACATTCAAGGAGTAATTCTTCCCCACAGTTACTATTTAAAGCAGGCCTGTTTTCTTTAGATGTCAGACTGAAATTCCCTTGGTGCTCTGTGTGTGTGTGTGTGTGTTAAGAGCTCTGTAGCAAGAAGTGTAAGAAATCTGTCAGACTTTTAACTCTCCCACCCAGGATGGAAGTGTTGGATGCTCATGTAGTATACATCCTGCAGCAGCGAACTTCAGGGACTAATTACCTGAGATGAGAGCATTTCTGGATAGATACACTAGATATTTATGCAGATATTGTCACGTGCATTTTCAATGTGGCCTGGTGCTTTGTATTAAAATCCACATCCTGAGAACCCAGCTGTTTGCCTCTCCAACTTCCTCTTCCACCTGGAGCTCGAGGCTGCCCACCTGTCTCACCCACGTCTGCCCCACAAGTCACAGTTCCCTTGGACACTGAGGGTACAGTCCTCCTGCCCCTCCAGGCATCTCACTAGCTCAGTCTCCTCCTAAAGTCTGCCGGCGGCCCAGCCCTCAGCTCCCCAAAGACGCCCCCACACTGTGCACACTGGGCACCCTGGGCATCTGTTGCCTGTCCAGGCCCCATGTCCGTTTGCCTGTCACAGTGCTTACAGTTTGACAGGAAGCCCTGCACCTTGATGTCTCTACTGACACCTTCGCACCTCCAGCAGAGATCTCACACATAATAGGTGTTCTGTAAATATTTGTGCTAAACACCCAAATCTGTCTTTCATGAGCTCACCCCTGGGACCAGGTTGTCTGCTTATGAGGAAGAGCACTAGTAATCAGCCCTGGGGACCAAACTGAGCTGCTGGAGTTGTCTCCTGAAGCCCAGCTCTTCTTGTCTTTTAAGGATTTACACCCTCTAAGCAGAGCACCCCCTCATACCATTTCCCACTCAGTGCCCACCCACCCACCACACAGCTCTTCGCAGTGGCCTCCTGGTCCCTCACAAGCCTTCTGCTCAGCCGGGCTTGGCTTTTCCATGAGAAACTGTGTTGCCTGGTGCACTCATGGCCATTGTGGAAGTTGATTTCAAATTGCAGTGGGCATTAGCTAGTCTGTGTTCCCCCTCCCTCTTGGCTCTGTAGCCCGTGTAGGAATCTAGCATGGCTACCTGTCCCTGGGACAGAGACCAGGCTGGCCGGCCGAGCACTGGAACAGCGGAAGGGCTGGGGAGATGACACCGTGGTGACACTGCATGGTAGCATCCAGGAGCACACAGCCATCATTCCCAGTCAGCTGGCGTTTATATCTGCCCTCACTTGAGTGAGACATGGTTGTTACTTTATGGTAATTTGACACAGTGTATAAAATTCAGTTTGCCAAGTGTTGCGCCTCTGCCTTCTTCCTTTCCGGTTCTTAGAGCATTTGGAGCCGCTCTGCAACTTGGGGACAAGGGTTTCCCCTGGGAACCCTCTCACAGTGAGCCTCACTGTCTCCCAAAGAGCTTCCCTTGCCCTCCAGAGTAATAATTTTACACTGCAGACAGCACAGATGAGGACAGAAATGTCGCATTATGATGCATCTCCATGACACGCCATGGTGGCACAGGTGGAGTGAGGAGATTCCAGCAAGGAGAGCCTTTGGGCTTTTCTGTGGCTTCAAAAGTCAGGTTTCCCAGATATTTGTATAAATTGGGCATTAAAATAACCACTGTTAAATCATTTATAAAATTGTAATCATATCTTGAAGTTTTATTGATGAAGTATTTTTCCAAAACCGTACTTTTTCATAGGTTATTTTCTCCTGCTCAAGAAGAGGAATTATAGTTCTTTTTGTTAACTCTTAGCTATATTTGTTAAGCGATTTCTTGCCTTAATCTATATGTAATGTATTTATCATTTAGGATACATTTTTTTAAAAGCATGTGTTAGTAATTTGCATAATGCCATAATTACATCTTTCATCGGGATAATTATGTAAAAGTAAATAAAGGTAGGGCTAAGATAATACCTAATTTAGGATGTCTTTCAACTGTAATGTTATAATTAAAGATCTCAGGTAGAAAGAAAAGGGCCTCGGTTTCCTTACACATCAGCCTCATTTCCAACATAAAACCATAGAAGTCAGCTCAGTGGCTTCTCTGCTTGCACATTTAAACACGGAGTCACAAGTGTCCACCTCGAGGCTTCCTCACAGGAAAAAGCTGCTCGCGTCTGCAGAATGAACTTCGTGCTCCCCCAGGCTACCAGGCTGCCAGGGCCGCACCGGACTGGCCGCTGCAGCGGGAGGCAGGGAGGACAGCACGGACTGGGAGGCCGTCCTGGTCCTCCCGTGTGGTTCAGACTGGAGGGACGCTCCGCGAACGCCAGTGTGAAAGGCGAACGTCTGGGGTGCGCTTGAGCTCGCGGCGTCACAGGCAGTAGCTCACTGCGTGGAGCAAGGAGAGCGCGGGTGCTCGCACAGGGGCACCTGCCCCTTGCCCAGACTATGGGCTCCTCTGAGTGCTGCCGCTTTCCTGCTGCAGGTGCCCGGGAAGAACCAGGACGGCTCACTGCAGCCTTCGGCTCCCCCAGGCCATTGTTCCAAGCCACTCAGCTTGACTTTCCTAATGGGAGCACAGGGGCTGTGAGCACGTGGCAGCCCAGTGACACTGTCAGACCTCTGTGGCAGGGTGCAGGGTTCCTCCACCCAGAAGTCTCCAGAAGAGTTTTCTTTAAGTTGGGTTGCTTTGGTTAAGAAATAAAGTGTCACCTGGGTGTGGTGATGCACACTAGAATCCCAGCACTAGGGGAGGCCGAGGCAGGAGGGTCACCTGTGAGTTCGAGGCTAGCCTGAGCTGCTTAGCAAGACCCTGTGTCAAAAACAAAAATGAGAGAGAGAAGAGGAGGAGGAGGAGGAGGAGGAGGAGGAGGAGGACAAAGAAGAAAGGAAAAGGAAAGGAAAAGATAAATGTGTCATTTGAGATTCAAAAATGTTTTGTAAGGGATTTTATGTTTGTTAGATGGTATTTATTCTAGGATCAAGAAACCTACATATAACTTTTTGATTTGTGTTACTCATCTGTGGAGTGGAAATAATAGTACTAAATAAGTAAATAAAACGCCCAGCCATTGTGTTTCCAGCTCATCCCCATGGCTCCTGCGTGAGCTGGTGGTACTCTAGTAAATTAAGTGTAGGAGTATTTAATAAAGCCTAGAAGTTAGTAAGACTTCAGGTGTGTCTGTGCTTTCTGATGAGACGCCAGTGCCGTATTTCTGATGCATCATTCCTGGTTATCATCAATCACACACTGTAGACTCCAGGAGTTTAATTATCACGGCTTTCCATGTAGCCTGGAGACATGGCTCAGAGGCAGGGTGACCCAGCATGGGCAAGGTCTTGCACAAACAAACAAAAACATATACTACCTATGTGAGTCATTTAAAAGAAAATGCCTGTTGATAGATGTTCAAATATGCTGAGTATGCTTGGAATTTCTGCACAGTATAATTTGCTGGTGTTGACTTCTTCATTTCTTTACTGTTTATCTAAAGAAACACTAACATCTAATTCTACTTAGGGGGACTGGAGAAGGATCATTTAGGGATGTTATTCACTATAATGTTTGTTCAATCATAACATTGCCCATGTTAGAGAATCCTTGCTAATTCAAATCTGTTAGCTAGATTGCCTTGAACCATAAGACAGTGTGTGTGGCCATGAAAATAAAGCAAATTATTACCTTCCAAAGTATCCTGCATGGATATTGCTGTCAACAACTCATCAGTCTGTTTACTGCATTAGAGAGAGGGAAGTTACTGGAATTGTTTTTTAATAGAAGTGGACAGTAGGAAGAGATCTGTGTGGATTCTCATAAAAAATGTTTTTTAATAGACTGTTTAACAGCACACTTCCTAAATCTCTTGGAGCATTTTAAACGTGAGTAAACATTGTAAGACATCGTCTTTAATAAGGGTTTCAGACCACAGCATTAGAGCATGTTTGGGAAGGCTGGGTGTGAAGGAGGGCTGATACTCATGGTGTTGTCCTCCTGTGAGCTTGACCTGCCCGCTATCTTTCCTCATCTTACCAGAGGCCTGGAAGGAAGACAAGGGAAAACCTTACTGGCAGCCTTGGGGTCTTTGAATGTGTCAGGGCTTCGTGTCTACTTCCCAGCCCAGAGACCCTCAGAATGAACCACGATGTGTTCGGGAAGGGATTCTGACAGAATTGCATTCTGTCTTTATGAACTTGTTCGTTGCTGTCACCTGCAGTGTCCCCTGCACACTCACTGTGCTAAAGGCCTGGTTGGCCCCTGATGGGCTCTCGGGGAATGAACAGGGCCATAAGGGAGGGCTCTGACTCCTCAGTGATTAATCCCCTGTGAGGTGCTGACTTGATGGCACCAGGAGGGGATGGAAACAGGAAGCAGGGCTTTGGTGAAGGACGTGTCATGGGGCAGAGCCTGAGGGCTGTGTGGTTCCACCCTGCCTGTCTGCGCTCTCCCTGTGTCCTTCCCGCCATGAGGTGAGAGGCCCCTCTTCTGCCTCACTGCAGGCCTGGAAGCAGGGGAGTCATGAGTAGCCATGGACTTAAACCTCTGAAACCGTGCACCAAAATATCCCTTTCCTGCTGTAAGGTGTTCTCAGATGTTTGCTCACACAGTTTGCTGAATCAGTACTTGTCCATTTACTAAGAAGTGAATGCCACCTTTTCAGGGGTCTTCATTAATTCAGGATCCTGACATGTAGTTTTTAAAAGTGTCTGGACTGCACAGCACGTTAGATACATTGGTACACAGATGGCAGTACCAAAGCTTTGGAAATTACTGAAGCTAAGTGCTTGATAACTTATAGCCCTCTCTTTCTTATTTTATTGTTGATACTACAAAAAGACAAGGGTTTATGCACTTGGCTTCTACAGTGTATAAGTTCTTTGTACCTAGGAAAAATCATGGCTGTCCAGCAAGAATGAAGAGGAAGGGCTAGACAGGGAGGAGGCTGTGCCAGGCCGCATAAGGAGGAGTTGCGGCGTAGCTTTGGTGCTGCGGCCTTGTGCGGAGATGTACTGATTAAGCCTGACAAGTGTGAGGACCTTGCACAGGGGTAAGCACTGTTGTGCCTGGTTTCTGTTCTCACTACATCTTCCTCTGTTGTCACAGGGAAATCTGTCCCCTGTCACCGCCCTGTGGCCGTGGAGTCTGTTTCAGGTGTCTCAGGAGGCTCTTTGTTCCCCTAGCAGTGGAAGAAGCATTGCCACCTTCCCCAGCACCCATTCTGACAAAGGCCCACCTTCACTGCAGACCTGGGCCTCTGGACTTGCCAGTAACTCGAAGCAGTTCGGTGGGTCCAGGCCACTGTAGCTCTCTGCCCACATCCTCAGAGTCGCCATGCAGTTAGATCCAGGCTCTCAGCCCTGCCACCTGGGGCCCTCTTGTGACAGCTTGTGTCCTGTGGTCCCTGCCCACGACTCCCCTGGCTGCTGCTCTCACTCAGGACTCAGCCATGGCCACTCCCTCCCCTGCTGAGGCGCTTGTCTCTCGTGTCTTTTCAGAGCTACCTTCCTCAGTGCTCAGTGACCGTCACCCTCAGGGAGACCTCCCTTGGCCCCTCCTGAGAGCCGCATGACACCCCGTTCTGCCAGCCTGGCACTTGCCTCCTCCAGGCAGCCATGCGTGGGCCTTGTTTGGCTCGCTTTCCACAGGACGGGGAGTCCTGTCTGTCCTATTCCAGTCTGCGGAGTAGCCCCTGGCCCAAGAACGGGGTAGCTGATGATATTAAATGAACGCATCTCAGTCCGTCCCGGATCTTCCTGTCTTCCCCTTCTTGACGTTACGTTCAAGGATGAGATGCATAGATGTTCGTGAGCCACCGAGCAAGGCCCTCTTGTCTAGTCACTACTTGCTGTGTTAGATGCTGTGCTGGCAAGTGGACCTGTGCTGTTTCAGTAGCCTTGGATGGGGTGGAGATGCTCGGTCACCTGTCCAGTGTCATGTCCCTGGTGGACAGCTTGTCTCTAAGCCAGGGACCCCCAAACACCACACCTCCTTCATGGCCTCTGGTTAGGTATCAGCATTCTTGTTTTTGTTTATTGCAGCACGTGGCTGAAAACATTGCGCCCATCAGCAGTCAATAAGTGGAGCACTAATTTGCTTCATGCTGTATCTTTGGAGTAATTTTCGCAATTTGAGGGAAAGATGTGATATGCTTTGGGGTTGTATGATACTGGACATATCATCAGGGAGGAGTGGGCAATTGGAATGAGAGGAAGAGGGGTCTGAACAAGGTGGATTTGTTCAAGGACAGAGGAACCAGAAGAAAGGGTATGAAAAGTGAGCTGATGCCTTGTGTGCTGGTGCAGGGCTCTTGTCCCAGCTATGCTAGTGGCTGAGGCAGGAGGACCACAAGTTCTAGGCCAGTGCCGGCGACTTAACAAGACCTTGTCTCAAAATAGAACTTTAAAGGTGCACAGCTCGGTGCATGCGTGACTGTGAGCACTGGGCTCAATCCCCACCCTGCCCCTCACCCACACACAGTGAGATCACACTGAGCGTCATGATGAGGACACCTTCTCAGCTTTTTCTTTCTAAGGTACTTAGAAACACTTTGTAAGGTCATTCTTAAACCATGTTCCTCCTCGTGCTTGTAAGTCGATATATAAAACTGTAAGTTAAACAGTGATAAGGCATATGACTTCTGACCTGTTCAGTATGAGCTGTGCATATGTTTTCATCAAAACTATGAACTATAGATTTAGCCCACTCACGTAATAGAATGATCTGTACTGGTGGTGGCACACCCATGGCACGCACGCCACAGGCACTGTTATCCTTGAGAGCTCTAAAAAGTTTGCCATCACTGATCCATACCGTGAGCTCAGGGACAGCCACAGTCAAGGCAATGAGAACAGAACTCGATTTTCCCCTTGAGTTGCAGGAAATCCTTCCCAGGGAGCCCTTGGTTTAGGAGTGTGTGCTCTGTAACTAGGAGACTCCTGTAGGGGGCAGCACCACGCCCCGGGCAGTTACTTTCTTCTGGAGTATTTTCTTCCAAAAACATTCTCCTTGGCTTGCTGATGGTTGTCTTCTCCCTGTGAGTTCCCGCTGGACACTCCTGTGTCTGTGAACCAATTCCTCCTCTCTTAAGGACATCTGTCACACTGAACGAACACACACCATACAGCACGCCCGGAGGCCTTGGGTCTGAACGTGGACCCCTCGAGATTGAGGGTCAGGGCTCACCATGAGAACTTCGGGACATTGGCTCTGCTCCTAGCAGGCAGCGCCAACCCTGCAGCCCAGGTCTCCTTCACTATTCTCTTCAGTCATTCCGGGTCCTTTGCCTTCCAATATGCATTGTAGGATTAGTTGGCCAAAATCCACAAAATAACTTGCTAGGATTTTTACTGGGATTGCATAGAACCTGTGGCTCAAACTAAAGTATGGACACTTTGTGTCCTTTTGTTCTGGAGACCGGACAAAAGTCAACACAGGGCAAAGTGATCTAAATATAATAAGTAGCACAACATGATGTTGAGCTTAGAGAGAGGGATTGTACCTGTTTGAAGGCAAATTGGAAGGAGGTTGAGGGGGAAAATAATTAATATTTGTGATGAATCTGGAGGAACCAGAAAAGAGAGTTAGGAAATGGTTTGAGTGTGTGCAAAAGAAAACTCACTGATAGGAGCTCTAGCAAATGGGCTTTCTATTCAAACAGAACCAAAGGCTGGAGGCAGACAGCTGCTGGTGTTGATTCAGGAGTTCTGCAGTGTCAGGGGCCACCCACCCATGTAGCAGTTTCAGCAGAGCTATTGACAAACCTAAGAGATATTGTAAATGAAGTGCTATGCCTGGTAATCTACTTGACATTTGCTGGGATCTGAAGGATAAAGAGGAGGAAGAAT